CATATGAATGTAAATTTTTGGTTAATTCAGTAAAAATACCCATAGAAATATATATACATACACACGCAAACTTTAGATAACTGCAAAGCCCATTATAAATGTGTGGGGGGGGAAAAAAAAAAACATGTTTGCAGCACAACAGGAAAAAGGAAATGCTTTGGAGATAGGGTCCAGCATATACACTATACTCAACCATTACATCAGTGTAATTATTTTTCCCTAAGGTAAATGTCTTATGTTACAAATTCTTCCCTTGCCAGAGGCCTCAGGCCCCACAGATGTTCAGATAGCAAAGCAGTCAAGTTTTCAACACCCAAGAGGTCTATGGAAGTTCCATTTCTATACCATACCTACAGCCCAATCAGTTTCTGCTCTTCTCCTTGTCCCCTTTCACCTGTCAGAGGGAACTCCTCCTTGTACTTCTTAAAATAGTTGATACAGCTGTAGAAAACAAAGAAGGTGTGCCCTTGCAGCAGACAGCAGACCTTTTCCTGGTTTTTACTTCTGCTGTTGTCAAATTTCCATCCTGTGTTGGAGCCAAATTTCCAAAACATGTCATTTAAGCAAACACTTGCCTCTCAGAAAAACACTTAACATTGATCTTCTGCCCTACAGTAAGATCCCATCAAAGAAGGTTCAAATAAGCAGAGATTCTGTCAGGATCTCCTAATCAGAAATTTCTACTTGAAGAGCTCATATGGTACTGTCTGATAAGATATTCAGTGACCTCTTTCCAAAGCCCTTAATAAATAAAACTCCTTAATATCAAACATACGGTAATGCATACAAGTTACGGTATTTTCTACATAGGAAAGAAGGTAAAAGCAGTCAAGTTACCATGTATTGGTCTTATAATAGTAAATGACAAGAAATGATATTAAGACATTACAGTTAATATTTTACATCACAAATCACAACCGTGATATATACATTTTAAGCACTTTCTAAAAGGTACCACAAATCCTTTTTTTTTTTTTTTTTTAAAGTTGCTAATCAGAGCTAAAATAAAAGTGGGATTGTCCAAACGAAAAAGCTCTTAAGTATAAATACCAGAAATATTAATGAGTGAGTGACTTCTGAAATCAGTTTTAAAGGAAAACTCTGAATCTTCTACCGAGGTTTCTTGTGAAGCCACAGAGAGTACTGAAAATAAATTGATAGGTCTGGTTTTGCTTACTAAAAGGAATTATTAATGAGGTTACTTAATTCAGGATCATGCTTAAAATAGGATTCACTGTAAAGGAACTGCTTAGCGTTAGTGATATTAGTTAAGTATTCCCACGTAACACTCAATGCACTCAAGGAAATAATAGATATATTGGTATCATGAAATGGCAGCGCCTCTGAAAAATATCTGCTGTACATGATTCTGTATGTAAGTACGAGGGCTGCTCTGAAACTAATGCCCCCGTTTTCCTGATGTTGGACGCGATGTCAGAGATGGATGTTGGTGGAACGGCAGCAGAGGTTGAGCCGTGCCGCCAACATTCCGCTCCATGTTGTTGCTGCGGGACAGAGGGCAGCAGAGGGGCACTCTGACAAAACGCGTCTGACGTGGAAGTGGGTACGTAGCAAAGGTGTGTCACTGAATTGCTCCTTGTGGATAAAATGGCAGCCACTGACATCACTGATACTTGCTGAACATTTCTGGAGACTAGACAGTGGACGTGAGCACAGCGAGGCGGTGCGTGGTGCACTTCAGCAGGGGCGACAGTGACAGAGGGTCACCTCCGCTGGTGCAGATGTTTACAAGTGCAGCAGCACGCAGGCTCTTGTTCACTGGTGGCCAAAACGCATAGCTCATGGCAGTGGCTATGCTGGAAAAGAGGGTTTGGTCACTGCAAAGTTGCTGCATCAAACAGCGTGTTGCTGCGTTCCTTGTATCTGTCGTAGTTTCCACAGAAATAAACAGGCAGCATTTCTTTCGGAGTGACCTACATATAACATACAACACTGGTACATAATATCACTGCTTCCTAGTAAAATATTCTTTTAGAGCAAACATAATTTATCTAAGCAACCGTTTGAAAATGAAAAGAAACATTTAAAGTGAAAGGCATGCAATTAATCTTTACCCAGCTTTGTACTGACTTATGATAATGTAATTCTGATAAAAGTAATTGCAATCCTAAATTAGAACAAACTGTTTTTTAAAGGTAAGCTTTTTTATTTCACGTAACTCTTTACTTGAAATTTAAAATCTGGCCTTAAAGAAAATCAGTGCTGAAAGAAACATAGCATTCATGCAAAATGTACAATTACCAGGAATTGAAGAGTGTACAAGCTGAAAAGCTGCATAGGCGGACATCGCTACGATAGAGATTGTACATTGGCCCTAGTCCACAGCATGTTCAGATAATTAATCCTCAGTGCAGCCAATCATCATTCTTTGCCCTGAACAGATATCCAACGGAATAAGGTTTGTCTCATTCTTCTCACCTGCTCTGCACAACTGGCAACTATTAAAGATTATTCCTTTAAACAGTGTTGTGCAGAACAATCTAAGCTAGTATGTCGTACACAGCTAGATGGTGCTGGCTTCATCTAAGGGGAAATTTGAAAAGAAAAAAATGCCAAGAAGGTAAGAGGCCAAAACTTCAGTCATTTCATTGGAAATGAAAGGCAAGCCTATTATTTCCACTGATAAAGCCGAAAGTACACATGAACAATGGCTTTCCAAAGTCAGAAAGCATAAGTATGGAAAAACTCAAGTAAATTTCTAACTGACTGTGTCCTCTAATGGATCGCTGCTGCACTGATTTCAGTATCTTTCCAACCTTCTGATCAACGCAAGAGTAAATTGACTTTTTAGGGTACGGTGGAATTGGCTTACATCAAAAAACAAAAAGCAGCATGACTTTTCAGGAAACAATAGATGCATTGCAGATACAAAGTAAGTAATACATAGCAGTCAAGTAGAATAACTAAAACTGCAATTAATTAAATAACAATTAATACTGGCCTGATCCTATGAATGCAACTTGCTGTACGTAGTACCTCAGAAGTCCTGTGTTTCAATCATTTGTCAAGTTCTTACTTCATGGGTTCTTCATTAAAAGCTCTTAATTCAATTTTCACCTGTTTGCTATTTCAACAACTTCACTTTCATGCTGAGACTGCTCATTGAATGCTAAATAAAATCTTCAGCATAGTAACAGAATGATCTTCTCTAACTAATACTTCCAATAACTCACCTTGAATGGCAGGCCTAGTGTGACTCATTGACATTCCTGGGCCCTTAAATGAGTTGCACTCCACTCTCAGGAGATAAAATAGGAATGTCTTTGTCTGGGCACAGATAGATTCACTCATTAGAAATCTTTGCAATATGCCTTACTGTTCCCAAAGCAACTGATTTTACTCTATTTACTACAGAATTCATCAGAGCAGTTTGGTCAAAACTCTCAGAAACTCATACAGTAACACCTACAATCAGTTCAGACTCAGCTGCAGAATTATTTTTGGCTTGTAAAGGAGAAAGAGCTAGATTACCAGTCCCTTCGTCCACAGTGACAGCATCTGATAGGCTCCAACAAGACTATCAAATCTAACCTGTTGGATAACCCCCAAATCTAAATTTTTTCAAGCAAACAAATTAGCAAATTTTGTCTGTCTCTAAATTAGGAGGATTCAAATTTCATTGCACAAATCGTTTTCTATGGAAATAACTTGACCTATTTACGTCTCCATTTCTGAATCAGGTTTCTCTTTGGTTGTTGTGATTAAAAAGGAAGGATGGCAATTGTATCAAATTAAAATAAGTTAAACTGTGCACTTTCCCAATTAGGGCTTTTGTGAGACATCTTTCCTTAGGAAGACAGGCTCATCCATCACTCCGAACTGCAAATACATTTAAAAAGCTTCATTCTCTGTCCTAACTTAAAATGACTTATCATGGTTGTGGTAAAGTTGCAAAATGTTGTCTGCTTCTGAGTACAGCCAGGGTGCTTGAATCTACAACAGAACCACTGGTTTTGAAAGGCTGACAAACCCCGAGTGAAATTCCAAAACAACTATCAGCTTCTGAATAACCACATCTCTGAACTGAATTTGAACTGCTAATTAAATATTCTGTTTATTTCTATGCATCAGCTTTACTTCTCAGAACTACCTCTGGAGAAACAAATGAAGTTCAAGTTTTATTCTTAATTTATACAACTAAAATGTTAGTCGTAGTAACATTACATGCTTTTTTAGAAGCCAGAGGAGAAAATTGCCTTCTATTTAAATACACAGTGTTTTTGCATTGTCACAGTGCATTACATGGATTTGATGTTTAACATATAACTGTACTAATCTTCGTGGCAAACGTAATAACAAAAGAAAGTTGTTTGGAGATTTTTTTTCTATTTTTATTTTAAAAAATAACTAAAACCTTTCCATTGAAGGACCACATGTAAAAACCATGGTTTCTCTCTACGGAGACCGAGGCTGCTTATTACCTACAGTATACTAGCTATGATGAACAGACCACCATAGTTGTGACAACTGATGTTGCTGCCTCCAGGGTAAAACAAAGGTTTACATATTACACAAGCAATTTAACTGTTTTCTAAACATATTGCCAAGACAGTGGGAGCTGGCAGCAAGCACTGTGTTTTAGGTTTTGGATACTTGGATTAGAACCGACTGCTGATTATAGACCTTTTTATTTGTCCCCTACGAATTACAAGCAACCTAGTAACCCAGCAAAGAATCCTTCACAGCACTTAAACTTGTCTTCATGGCTTCCCAAAGATTACGTACACAAATCACTCCACAAAAATGGTGCAAGAGACTTGTGCATAGATAACTACATGAGACAATTGTCTTGTTCTAACTTAAAGAGTTCCCCAAAGTGAAATGTTTTATAATCCTTTTTGTGCAGTAGTCAGGAAAGAAATAAAAGAGTTTGGGCAAAGATTATCCACAAGAAAGAAACTTTTTTTTGGGTTCCAGCTGCAACACAATAAAGAACATAATTAACTTCACAATTCTTTGTGTTTTTCATTTGACTGCAGGGAGGAGATGAAAGAGGACTGTTAAGCCTTGCATTCCATCCCAATTACAAGAAAAATGGAAAGCTGTATGTGTCTTATACCACCAACCAAGAACGGTGGGCTATTGGACCTCATGATCACATCCTTAGGGTGGTAGAATACACAGTATCCAGGTATCAGTAGAAGTCTAAAATTCACAAATTCTCTATTTACCAGCAACCTTCCTCATTTTAGTATACCCTGCTTCTAAACTGAACTACCAGATTTACAAAGCATATACTTGGGCACTTGCAGAAAATTTATTGCTGATATTTATTTCAAACAGTAGTTTTGGAACCCCCGTCAGTATACTGATTTATTCATTTTAAGCCTCTTTCTTTTTATTTGTTCTGTCATTTTTAAATTATATTTATTTCCTACTTGTGTATGGGAAGCAAAATAATTTTTTGAGAATGCTGGAAAATTGCAATTTCTCAGAAATTATTGTTTGACATTTTTATGCCAAGTTACAACATCCTCATCTTAAAGTATGATTTGAATGACTCACATTTATTTTTAAAATGAAAGCCAATGATAGTGAGCTGTGAAAACTCTTTTCATATCTTTGCACTGCAGGAAAAATCCACAACAAGTTGATATAAGAACAGCAAGAGTGTTTTTAGAAGTAGCAGAACTACATAGAAAACATCTAGGAGGGCAGCTTCTGTTTGGCCCCGACGGCTTCTTATACGTTTTCCTTGGAGATGGCATGATTACTCTCGACGATATGGAAGAAATGGATGGTTTAAGGTACAAAAGCTACCAATGGATAGACTTCGGAGTCACACTCAGAAATGACTAACAGTTGTCAGCAAAAATCCTATTCATGCTTTCTTAATTATACCACCTCACTATTTTCAGCACCTGAATTAAGCAGTTAATTTTCAGAACAATCTGGGTACTTAGAGGCACGTTGTAGATGCTTGCTATCAAACCCTGTAAATACTGGAGTCCTCAATAACATATCTAATTCTATTTAAACATAGATTAGACATATTTTTCTCCAGACTATTATTCTACAAACAAATCAGCTTTATTGAGCACATGTTCCAACAGACACATACCAGAGTCAATAACAACACTGTATCACTTAGGAAAATGTCTAGAGAATTTATTTAGCAACAGTGCTTTGGTTCTGCTTACACAGTTTTCTCTAACAGCTTTGACCCCGTGTCACTGTGCTATAGAATCACTTGGTTGAGTTGGCAGTTACTCTGCCATGAGCAGGGACATCTTTAACAAGATAAGGTTGCCCAAAGCCCCGTCCTATGTTAGAGCTGCAAAATGTTGGCACAAAGTTTGCTGTAATTTAGAGAAAGACTGCTCTTGAGTCTTCACAGACCTAAAAGGAGTTGCTCTACTCAAAGGCCTCTTTGGCTCCATGGAATAACAGGTATTCCTGACCTTTACAGAGAGGATATGCTTAACAAGAGAGCAATGCTTGTGCTTTATTTTAAATTAATAGAGAAGATGGGAGAGATTGAAACAGATGCTGTGATACAGAAAGTTGTTTTTGTTACCAAGTTGCTACTCAGCAAAGTGGTCAGAAGAGTTACACTGTAGCCATAACAGTGAGACATATTAACCAAAATGGGCCCTCGATGAGTTCTGCTACAGTTCTTAAGACTCACCCATGCTGTAAAACTAAACCAGATGTGATTATTAAGTCAAGTAGGTGGTTTCTTTTACTGGCTTGTTGAAGTATTACATGCAAAATACTTTTAAAAACCAATTATTTTATCCTCCAACTTTCTCAGTGATTTTACAGGTTCTGTGTTACGCCTCGATGTAAATACTGACCTGTGCAGTGTCCCTTATTCCATACCACGGAGCAACCCACATTTTAATAGCACAAACCAACCTCCTGAAATTTTTGCACATGGACTCCACAATCCAGGCCGGTAAGCACGTCACAATTACAAATGGAATTAACCCAGAGCAGGTTTTCAGCCAGAAATGCTGTATTTAATCTGCCAGAAAAATTTGCATAATAAAGGTACTCATGAACTTTTTAACTGCAACTTCTCCATGCACACGTATATGTCACACTTGTAAACAACTGTACATTGACAAAAGCAATGGAGAGAATGTACAGCTCTTGAAAGTCAAGACCGAAATGACAGAAACAAAGTACTGGCAAGTTTTGGTTTTTTTCTCCTCTATGTTTCCTTTTTCTATGAAACAAGAGAACTTAAAGCCGAGAGCTGGGAAAACATGGCTGGGGTTGGAATCTGAGAAATTAGAACAGTAGAATCTTGACCGAGAAAGAAAAAGGCATGGAAAGAAAACTGAGAACATCTGGTGAAATCTAAACAACAACAAGGAGGAAAGCAACACTTTAACTAAACAACACATAATTCAGCAAATTAGGTGGGGGTAGTACTTAAGTGACATTTAAAGGCACCGTTTGATAAAAAATGAGAAATTCCAGTTGTTCGGATACGGAGTAAATTCTTGGACTTCTAAGCAGTCAAAAATTTCTCACCTAGCTTGGCTAAAGCCATGTTCATCTGCAGTGATACTGAGCAGAGTACATTCCGTCACTAGGTAAAAGTAGAGATTTGCTCCCATGGTGCAGGGAGGGAAAGATATTATCTCTCGTGTACAGATCTGACGCACCTCTCAGATGTTTTGGCTCACGAAACGTCCCTCACAGGAGTAGACGCAACAAAGAGTAATCCTCCAAAATGTGATGCTTCATGCTGTTGTTAGAGAATTACACATTAAGAGTCTGTATATCTCATGGATTTTCTTCTATTTTTTGTTTTAAGATGTGCTGTGGATCACCACCCTGCAGATGTAAACATCAATTTAACTATACTTTGCTCAGATTCAAACGGAAAGAACAGATCTTCTGCAAGAATCTTACAGATAATAAAGGGTAAAGACTATGGTAAGTTCTATCCAGGGTAAAGCTAACCGAAGTGGGAGGCTGCACCCAGGGTAAAGCTAATTGAAACAGGAGGCTCCTGTGACTATGGAATAATAAAAGGAAAGCAGAAAACAAAAGATTAAGGATGGTAAAGCCATAATAGGTAACTTACTGCATTGACTGCATTGCAGGTAACCTGCAGAAGATGTAACTGAAGTACAAGAAGATTAAACATGAAAGACAAAACAGTGACTACAAATAAGATTTGGGAAATATGCCAGCTGTCAGTCACTCAAAGATCTCATTATAGTTGCAAATGACAGCTTATAAGGAAAAGATTTTGGAATATCACGAAGTGATGAAAATGTATACTTAGTCATTCACAAATAACCTTGTAAGGTACAGAATGGAAACCTCATGTAATGTGCTTCCTATAATGGAAAAAACGAGAAAGACAACAACAGACTGAAACCAAACAGGGAAATGACTGAGCTCTGTGTTTAAACGTTACTAAAAATGAACAACTTACTTAGAGAAATGCACTATGGTACTACTTCATAATAAAAGATTAGTTCAGATTGCAATAGGATAAACACGCTCAATTAGTAACTTAAAATTTTAGAGTGTTTTATGTGCTCTCTGAATCAGTATGATTGCCTCCCACAGCTTGAATGTTTAACTCTGATACCAAGATCATTTGCTAGGTCAGGTAAGCCAGAAGAGTTAATCTGACATATCATCTGTCTTGTTTAACCATTTAGCAGTTCCTAATTTGTGGTGGTAAAGGTGATAAATTTTAAGCGTGTATAGGCATCAAGAACCGACCTATTTCCTGGAACAGAACTTTTTCAAGTTTTATTCACCTCCCCAGTAAAACAGTTGTGCTGACTAGTATCATAGTCCCAATGTGTAATGCAATTGTTCCACTTCAGTTACTGCATGTATTTTCTGTGTGCATTTTACGGAAGCCAAACCAAAGAGCAGTATTTGGTAAACCACGGCTCCAATGGAATTTTGACTGCATCTTTATTGCAGAGTAAACTAAGCAATACTGTGTCTATCCACAACATCTTGCCTATTTTAATACGAGGCTGTGGGTCAACTGCTTAAATAAAAAATGCTCACCATCCTTTTGTCCAACACAGAATTTCAGCTCTTGCTCTTGCAGAACAATCTAGGAAATTCCTTTTTCAAAGACCTGCAGAGAGCACTCCAACTAAAAACAAAGTTCCTCTGAAACAAAAAGTTCTGTCAGCTGTGGCTTAATTTAAAATTACGCAGTTGGCATTTCAATTTGAGCCTACATTTACCTTAAGCAATATTGCATAGGCACATTTACATTGAAAGGTTATCCAAGATATTACCTCATGTGACTAAATTGCAGCTTTGTAAAAAAAAAAAAAAAGAAAGAAAAAAGTGTAGGCACTACAACTATAATAGCAGCACAAAAAATCACCATAAAAACCTACATCCAGCAATATTACTGTTTTATGGCACACAACACACATAATGTATTCAAATGTGATTTGAAAGAGTTTCTTAAACCACTGAATGGCTTTGAAAACAAGCTCTGCTGAAAATCACTGGAATTTGGAATTTGTGCTCTTGGGGCATAAGCCCCCTTTTCAGTGAAGGGAGTTTAATTGTGTTCCTGAAGTTCAAGAGATCTATTCTGTAGACTGTATGGACACATAAAAGTTAATAGCAGTAATCACATTAACTTAAATGGAAGTCTGACCTAATCCCGGTATAGTTTTATTCTCTTGGCCTGTGCACATGGAAGGAAGGTAATTATAGTGTCTCCTACCTAAATTCCTCATTAACTGTTTCACAAACAGCTTTCGTTGCAATTTTCAGATCTTCCTAATGCTTCATTTCCAGCTATACATCTTGCATTTTCAGGATCATTTAAAGGGAATTAATTTCATTCTGAAAATAATAATCCTATTCATAAATGTGAATCAAAACATGAAACTGCATATGATCTAAAACTACGGTAGTTCCTTTTTAGAAAGTGAGCCTTCACTTTTAGAATTCAAACCATTCAGCAGTGGAGCCCTGGTCGGTGGATTTGTCTATCGAGGTTGCCAGTCCGAAAGGCTCTATGGAAGTTACGTATTTGGAGACCGCAATGGGTAAGTTTCTTATAATTTCAGCCTTAAACATAATATATTCACGAGGTACATTTTGTTGTGAGCTTCCTGCATGAAACAACAGCAACAGACTTTTTAATACTGTGTCACTTTGCCAAAGTAGCAGCGTGATGATGTAGATTAAATTCTAGATTCGGAATCAAGCAGCACGATATTCTAATGAAGGGGAACATAAGTAACATTTCTAATCCTTGGAATAATATACAGACAAAGAAACTAACTTCACACTTAACATTCATCCTTTACTTTATAGTGCAAGTAAATGGTAATCATGGAATAGTTTGGCAAACTGATGAGATAAGGCAAACTTTCTGGGTTTTATGGCAACAGTGAGGGAGCAAAATGAATGCTTTTTAATTGCAAGAGTACAGTTTTCCCATACCAAACAGGTCAGCATTCACAAATGATTAGATACAGTGCAGCAAAACCTAATCTTGTGATGTTTGAATGACAGGAAGGGAAATGCTACGCTTTTTAGGCACCTGAAAAATAACAGGCAGGAAATAAGGTGATGAATTATGTAGATCTACCTAAGGAGCTACTTCCTGCACGTGCTTACTTATTTATCCGGACAGTGAAAATCCTATACTCAGAACGTAATATAACAATTTGCCTTCTGTTTTTGAATACAGAAATTTTTTAACGCTGCAACAGAATCCTGCAACTAAACAGTGGCAAGAGAAACCCCTCTGTCTTGGCAACAGCGGATCATGTAGAGGTTTCTTTTCAGGCCCTGTCTTGGGATTTGGTGAAGATGAACTAGGTAAATAGGAAAAAAAGAAAGGTTTTTAAATTGTAAGTCCTCTAAGTATGCTAGCGAAACCATTTGAAACCATAGTAAACGTTCCAAAAGAAGAAATCTGAAGGCTGGTTTCCCTTTGCCAAAGCTGTCTACACCGCTGTTTCATCCACACCTTACCAGCTGTGTAAGAAGAGCTGTTAAGAGAAAGGGTCAAAGGTTCTTATTTTCTCTCACATTCTGTGAACTCTGTCACTCTCTCTGACACAAGTCATATGCTTGTTTTTATTTCCAGTGTTACAGATGGGCAGAGGAGATCTGCATGAGCAGATGGATCCTCATTTTTAATACATAAGTCCCCTGTCGTATATTTTTTACCAATTACTACAATATGAAAAAAATACGTAATTATTTAAATTTTCAGATAGCAATGATTCTGTAGTGCATTTCACCAAAATATCTTTAACCTCACTGTGTATGTGTAGCTAGATTACAAGTGTTTGACATCTCAAGAAATAAAAACTAATTAATGTATTAATTCCTTTAACAGGCGAGATTTACATATTATCAAACAGTAAAAGTATGACACAGACTCACAATGGAAAACTCTACAAGATCATCGACCCAAAAAGGTGAGCATTGCACTGCACTAGTCCCTAAGATTATTCTCCCCTTCAACAGTTTAAAAAACAAAATAAAAATGTACTTCTTTCCGTGTAGCAGCACTGTACAATACTCACATTAAGTAAGAAGGAATATTTTTAGAGCAGAGGTTTCTTACAAGCAAATGTAACATCACCAGCAAGCAGGATAAACTCACCGAAATAATCACTCTCATAGAAGGTGACTGTCAGAACAGTAGAAGTAGAAATGCCTCTGATTTTTACTCTTTAACATCATGTTAAGTGCTGATAACTTCCCCAATTAAGATTCACATTTTTGGGATATTTTCATAGAAGTTTAGACATATTTAAAATGGAACCATATGGATCAGCACAAGTAAAAGATGCTGCTGATAGTTCTGAAGCCAAAGGACTTGTAGGTGCTACAAAGGTTATACAGTGCCTATGGAAGGCAGAATACTAGAATTCCTCCCAAGGCGACTTGCTGCCTTGCCTGCCACTGCACTGTGACAGTGCACAAATAGAGCTGGCTCAAAAGGTTAGTACTGATGGACAATATCTGCTCTGTATCCTGGAAAGGTACTGCAGAGATAATTAGCTCAGTAATTTCACCAGCTACTGCCCAGACAGTTCCAGTTTCACTTCCTCACAATTTCAGTTTTGCTACCAGATCTGAGGGACAAATTCAGTCTTTTCCAGACATCTCTGCTGTTGTCTAGAAGACGCTACAGACTGAGAAGAATACAGAGGGCCCAGCCCTCAGGGCCTGTATTCTATTACTGCTTACTAGTTTTCAAGTTCCTTCTATGTCCCTACATTCACCCATATCTCACTGGGAAGGTTTGGAGCACAAAAGAGAATCCAATGAAAGAAAAGTTACATCCCTGGTCGATGTGACAAAAACACACTCAAGTCACCAGCATTCGTTTCATCTGCAGTTTCCAAGAGGCTCATGAAGCTTACCCAAATTATTTATAAGATTCAAAATTAATATAATTGGTATAGTTACTTAGTCTAATTTACCAGCTATAAAACTAGAATACACGAAAATTACCAAACCAGAGTTTCTTGGGATGTGATTTCTTTCAAGTACTTTGCAAAGCAGCTACAGCTACGAGAATGCCAGGGAATCAGGAAAGATTGCAAAAAGCTAGTCCCCTGTGCAGCCCCAGCAGCAATAAGAGAAGGTGACAAGCACTTACTCTGACTGGTGAAAAACCATTTCCTTAGTGATGGATCTTGCTGCTCCGTGACGCCAAGTCCATGGCAGGAAAAGCCACATCCATTCTGCAAAGCATCAAAAATTAACACACAAAATGAAAGGGCCAGCAGAAATCAAGTCTGTCATACTGATTACTTTTAACTCATCATCCCCACAAGAACAACCTAGATTATTATCCATTTATCAGTTCATCACCTACTTCAGCACGTTTACCCTTGAGCATCACCTACAGGCAGACATCCATTTTTTATTTTGATGTTGACTGTATGAGAGATTCATTTATTTTTTTTGCTGGAATTTAAACTCAAAAAACTGTTATTAAGACAACACGTAAAACTGATAAGAAATTCATTACACTGGGTACACAATGTACTTACTACTTGAGTTTCACTGTTTTTTAATTATGCTACCCAAATCCATGGCACTAGTTTGGAAGCAGATGTTACTGCAGTCTGTCAGTCAAGGCTATTATGGATGTTTTATTTATGCTTTCTGGTATTAAAAATATTTTTTTAGAACAAAACTTGCTATTCTTATTGGGATTGTTTAGACTGATGGTGTATGGTTTTAAGTGAATTTTACACCCTAAATCCACTATTAGTATCTAATTACATGGGGCTGCCTTGTTTGACCTCGGCTTTTTGTTCTCGTTACCTCTTCCAGTAGGGTGGTCTTCAGCTGACATACCTGAAAGGCCAGACCTCCCATTGCTGCACTCACGTTTGGCTGTTTTCACGTATGGAAAACGGTCAAGACTGTGTTTGGTTACTGGTGAAAGTAACCAGAAAACTATAAAATACTTTTGTAAATTGGCATGCGTTTGAGATTAAGCAGACTATGGCAAGGGGATGTAGAGTTTGGTAGCGCTTCTTAGAGACATGGACAGTTTCCATTCAAGCAAAGTTTTGAGTTTGGCTGGGTTTTTCTCATTTCATTCCTACTGCTGGATTTTAAGTGAAAGATGGTCATTTTCTTTCACTCAAGAGCACTGCAGGTCTATTTACCGCATCACACAAATTTCATAATGCACTTCTCAACAATTTACAAATTCCACGGCTTTGGCAAATGCTTATGTAAAGCCCTATTAATTAATATTAATACATTAATTGTCAACCACAGGTAATATTTTTTGCATATTGCCATTTTGCTGTTCTATTCAATGCCTTCCTCAAGATACATACCATACAAATACATCAAATAAAAGTGCACAGTCTAGCACAGTGAGCTTTCTAAGACACAAAACAAAAGTACTACACGTAGGCTACCAGCTGTAGAGTTACTGAGGTACTGACTTGTCACATCTTAGAAATTCATTGCTTAGAAATCCATAACAAAGCTCTGTGAGGGGTGGCCCCTGGCAGATTAATCTATTTGCAGATAGTGCCTTCCATGTGTGGGGCACTACAGAAGAGTACAATTATCATTCTTCACTGGAAATTAAAAACTTCATGCAACAAACCAATCTTCTAGTGGTTGTAAATAAGCTACTACAAGCTTACAAAATTACCCTTTAATTCTAAATAATAGATGTTACAAAGAGATGCAGGATTTTGTTTCATTTGATCTTTATAGAAAACTAGTGCATAAAAAAAACTTCTCAAACTGTGACCCTGACTTCCTGGTCTCAAAGGGCTCAAGAAAGAAATCTATGATTCGGATATCACTAGCAGTAGAAAGCTTTCAAAACAAGTGAAGTTTTCAAACCATCAGAAGAGCAGAGGATGAGAGTACTCCAAGGAGCTCTTTGCATCAATCTTCAATTATGAGCAGTGAGAAGGTCCAACCCTAAAACCTTTCAGATGTAACAAAAATGAGGGGCTACACGGAGGTGATATGTGAAAATGAATAAATATGATAAACACAGAGAATGAGAATAACTCCATCAAAGTAGTTTGAAACACAGAATACAGGGTACTAGAGGAAACTTCTCTTTACTTCAGGTCAATAACTACACAGCCTCCTGTGAAAAACACAGAACTAAATAATCCCTCTCTCCATAGCAGTATTACTGAAATGACACACTGGTACTTGGGAGCTCTTAGACAATGTAGCGATAAATCAGAAACTGAGAAAATTACAACCTGAATTTAAAGATCAAGCATATGAGGTGCTGCAAAACATATAAATACCACATATCAGCACAACTGAATGGAATGAAGAGTACAGGTAACATCTCATATAGCTTTCCAATTGGAGGGGATAAGGGAAGCCTCAAGAATGACAAACACATAAAATAAGATAAATTGGTTAAAATAACTGATTTTTTAGTTTCTCAAGTTAAAAACACAGCCATTCATTGATGATTATTTAAAAAAATTTAAAAAGGAACATTATGAGAAGTAAGATACTTTCCAAGGCTAGGAACAAATGAGAAAGCAGAGGGAGAAAGAGCAACGGCACATAATTCTCAGATAAAGAACAGTGATAGTCAGATGTTCTAAAAGATCAGTGCAAATTAAAAGCATTCTGTAAATTCTCTTTGTGACCAAAAAAAGAAAAACTTCCTAGCCTTATGCTTCCTACAATTTTTCTGTCTGCCTATTTCTACAAGTACATTCTAACAGTAATCACTAGAACTTTCATAGACAAAATAATTATATAAATGATGATACAGAAAATGCTTTAGCCCAAATATTCAAGTCAGTCAATAACACAGAAAATGGGAGACAAACCTGTTAGAAATGAGAATATAATCCTTTCGTATCATAAGAGGAGAAAATCAGATGCAGGCAGCATTAAAAAATGCCTATTTTAATAGGAAATATCCGTTGATAAGTTTGTATCAGCTACAACATAAACATTACTACAGCTGTTCTATGAAAACCATATGGGGGGGGGGGGAAACAAGAAGAAAGAAAGAAAACAAACTGTGTAAGATGGTAGCACAGTCATAGTGTGTCTTTGTGAGTCTTCTTTTAGAACACTTAAGATTGCTTTTAATAGATAAAAGCAAATACTTCATAAAATAGTAAAGGTTCAGAGAAGACAGGAGAAAAGCACAGGGAAAGGTGACAAGGAATGCAAAAGAATTCCATTTAAAAGATGAGACTAAACACGTAGGAGTTTGAAGGATAGTCACGCACCGCTGTTTCCCTCTGAAGTTATGTTTTCAACTGTCTATACCACAACTTCAAAGTTGATAAATAACAGTGTTGAACAGCGTGGCTCACGGGAGCTAGCAGATAACTGTTAGAAAGGAAGGTGGAGTTTAAGTAAGTGTCCTTGCACATGTAAGAAGAATTCCTCTTCCTCTCCATATGTTTAACACCTTAGAGATCTGGATCTCAATGTGTTTTCTATCAACAGCCAGAATAGCTGCTTTCCACTGGGCTGAAACTTGAACTTGATTCAAACCGTCTCATTCCTCTTTCATGCCCCTCCAGAGCGTGTAGTTCTATTCATCATCATTTCCAACACTGCCTTCTGAGATGTCCACTATCAAAGAGTCTTTTCAAACAGAATGATTTCAAACATTACTGAACTATACCTAGGTTATATCTCATTTTGACGATGTTCAGCCCCTTGACATGAATGTCAGTGATGTTATTTTTTACCATGAGACAAGAGCGTTTGATTGTAAGGTGTAAAAGCAGTATTCGTGAAAGCCACCTTGAAGACCTTAATTACTCTGAAAAAGGAAGCTCAGAAACATACAGCACTAGAGTGATCTGCATCAACATAGTTCTGATGGGTCATGGTATATACACTTTGTGTGGTGTATAAATAGGGTGAAGCTACTACCTCAGGCTGTCTGCAGAATGAGCAAATTTTGTTGGTGAATGCTCTC